TCCGAGATTTGTCTGAAATTTTGAGCTTCAAAAGCGGCATTTGGTCGAGATTCAGTTATTATCGATTTTCTCGAAAATAAATCGATATTCAACCAAACGAAGTATGCAGTGCTTTGTTTCACCATAAGGCCTATCTAACTTGAGAATATGAGCCGAATCGATTTTTTGGCTGTTGCCACCAAATGTTTTACCGTTGGTAACATTCGCTCTTAAGAGGGGTTTTCAAATCGCACTCATAAAGAAGAAACAACAAACAAGGGAAGCCAAACGGAATTTAGATAGCTTTAAGGAAACTGAAGTTTTTGTAATTATTCAAGATTGTTCCATCTTGATTGTTCCACGTTCTTCTCTTAATTCCCCTCCATTTCATTCACGCTTTTATCAGTAAAACATTTCAATCAAAATAAAGAATCATTAGTGTTACTGTAACTGGCCTTTCCGTCTGATTAGTTTCATCTCAGTTGCGATACCGGCTGTGAAATAGTCAAATACCAGTGAGGACTTACTCTCATCCAACTTTACAGTATCTTTCAAGAGCATGCGTTTGTCGTTACTAATGTCCCAATGCTGAAAAATAACTAAAAAATACACCTTTGTAAAGGAATTTAGGTTCAGAATTTAACCATCTGCCTTCCTCATAGGATCGGGAAAGGTGGTTAATTGTAGGAATGAACGCCCGAAGCGTGAAGCGGAGTCAATGCGATCAGCAATTAATTAAGCGAGTTACTCTGTTACAAAATCAAAGAGAAGACAATTATTGTGAGCTTAAACGATCCTTTTAGAAATCACTTAACTGCTAGGCAAGAGAGAAGTTTAGCGGGCTCGGTCTAAAATGTGACCATTGCCTTCGCACCCTCCTGTTATCAAGAAAAAGCGGTAATTCAGGGTTGTGAACCCGTTGGAAATCAGTTACTTACCACTTACTTCCTACTTTCCTAGAATCGGTTCTAAAAAGCTATTTTGCTTTGCAAGTAGCCATTTGAATAGTGATCGAGACTCCTGGCACACGTTGTTGGACCTTATCCCGGTTTCTGTACATGAACTATTATTGCCACTGCCACTCTCACAAAGCGGTATGCTAGACCAAAATAATAACTCACCCTCCCACCCCCCTTAGCATCTCGTCACGTGATCTCAATGGTAACATTCTTATTTACTTTTAACAACGAGCCACAATAAATATGTGGTAATTCGGGCTACAAAATCTATAAGCCATTTTATAATAATTTATTTATTAACTTCGCCAAGAAACAACAATAAAAATAAATAGATAAAAATGACAAAAAATGACAAAAAAAAAAAAATGGCAGGGACACCGCAACAGCATAGCCAATTACAGCGGGCTAATTCTTTGTTAAGTCTAAAATACTAAGATGTAAAAAGCAATAAAGAGAGAGGAAGAGTTGGAAATAACCCACAAATTCAATCATTACGTAACAAAACTGTATGTAAACCGTCTGCTGCATTTCAAATACAAATTAAGCTCAAAGACAAATTAAGCTTGGTCAAATCGTTTTTATGGTGGTTGTGAACTTCTCTTTTTTCTGCTTGGAATTCTCATTTGCCTTAAAATTAAGGAAAACATAACCCGAAATTTTGATCGTGTGAGTAACTTAAAGATATAACCTATTCATGAAAGGTATTACAAGCGGCAAAAAACAACAATAGTCAACAATGAACACAACGCAAGGTAGCACGCTTTAAACGTTGAACTTTCCAAGAATGTTATTGCATGACTCTAGCCGCGCGTGTTGCGTCAGAAGAGGTCAAATAGGTCTTCATCACACACTGCAACTGATGTCTATGAACATGACGGCACCCTGGCCCTTTAAATGTTGAAATTTCTAAGAATGTCGAGCATGAAAACGCTGCATGTTGCATATGCAGAAAAAAAAAACAAAGCAGATTCTTACCATTTTAAGAACACCATACGAAAAAAGATAGTGAGACGGTTCATGCACTCTGACAAACGTTTAAGGTTGTTCTCGTGGAAGAAATTCAAATAATCTACGTAGTATGCCGATCTCTGTCATGGAACGAACAGAGCTACGTGCGAAATTTTAGTTTCGTCTTACAATCAAGTGAAGAACCGTTCGTCGCTGTCATCTAGGCGCTCTTACTTTATTCATTGCCAATCCAGCTCCGAAACGTCCCAAAACGGCAAGAAATAAAACTAAACTTTTTCAAGCGGTTTCTTGAAAAGGAGAAAAAGCTTAAGTGTATGTTCTTTTTACATTTTGTCACATTTCTAAAATTCATTATTAGCTGGTGACCTGTCTAGCTACACCTGGCTTGCATGTTTTAGTATGCGAATGCTTTGCCTGATGGCAAATTAGAACGAAAACTTTTCCAAATCAAATTGTGCTTTTTATTTTCATTTGACTTGAAAATACTCTTATCCATCTCTGTGCTGCGTGATCGTCGGTAAATTTGAATAAAGCTTCTTTGGAATTCTTTCATTAATCCGTCACGATAAAATATTTCATTGCCCTTTACCCAAAGATTGACAATGAACTCAGTACATGTTTATCTCAAACGCCTTAGACACTTACCTGTCACCAGCAATACCGTCAAGAATGCAATAATAGGATATTGATAAGATTCTCTCCAATCAAGATAACGGTCCAGTTGTTAGGATCGCCGCTGATATTCGTTATAACTTGCAACAAAGTATAAGTTTCAGCGACTTCTTCTTGTGACCTTTTGTGGGGAAAAGGATGCAGCTACTGAATCACGAAATCATTTACCTGTTCTTAAGTTATCGAGAGTTTCTGTAAAATCGTACATTCTGAACGCAATTCGATAAGTGCAGGGTAGTGTAAAAGCCATTTCGGGTCTAATATTTGAGTCTTTTCATCCCATTTTCAGTAAAAATAATCACATTCTATTGTTACGTAATATCATACTTTTCTCAACCTCAGTAGAAAGAATGTAGCTATCTACAGCATATGACACCTTGTCGGTGACTTTGAATGCAGCCAACTTCTTGTTTGCAAGTGCCTTCCTTTACCGCAAAAAAAAAAAAACAAAATAAAGTGTCCAAACATTTCATTGCACTTCACCCTCTCCGATGACAGAAGAGGTCGAAAGGAGTAAAAAGGACTCAGTACATGTTTATTTTAACGCCTTAAGTAACTTATATAGCAGTACCGTTACTAAGACAA